GCCCCTCGCGAGGAGCGTGGCCCCACGGGGAGCTCCACCGAAGGTACCAGCGGCGCAGGCCGCTCTGCGGCCCAAGGGGGAGCTCTGTACACAGAGATCGGGCACGCCCTTTCTCCCTGACGCGGTCGGCGCGGCCCCTCGCCCTCTGGGGCCTGCGACCGTCCCGGGGGCAGGGCGCCGGTGCGGGGTTCTGAGCCCACAGCCGTCGGGTGCGCCGGAGATTCGTCGTCGCACGGGGTGCAGGGAGCATCCTCGGCCCTTTTCGTGGGGCCGAGTCTGCAGGGAGGTCTTCTCCGATGTTGCGGGGAGGTCCCGAGCCAGGGCGCCGGGTTGGGATTTTGTTTCGGATTCCGGCAGGTTCGCCCGGTTCGCCACAGACGGCGCCGGAAGTGCAGCGGGCCTCACGTCCTCGCGCGTTGGGGCTCCTCCGGACGTCGTGGGCTCTCCTCAACACTTCTCGAGCTTCTCGAGCAGGCAGTCGTACGCTTTTGCCAAGGCAGCGTTTGCACTTAGAGGTTCGAGCTGCTTCGTTTCCCGAACTTCGCTTCCTGAATCTGGGCCTCCTGGATGGGGTCGGGGATGGGGTCGGAGGATCGCGCCGCGTCGCCGGTGCATTGACGATGCGGCTCGATGTGGGTGGAGGCCGTGTTTCTCCACGCCGTCGTCGCCGATGCATCGCCGATGCATCGCCGATGCGTCGCGATCCTTCGACCCCATCTACGGAGTATTTTCTTTGTGTGGAGGGCACAGGGTGAAATCTGAAATGCCGTTTCGATGGATGTTCGAGGCTTGAATCTGCCAGCGATGGACCACAAGGCGGACTGATCCTCGAGGTGCAAGAGCCCATATAATGTTTCACCCTGAGCCCTCCACCCTGAGAAAATGCTCAGATCTAGGAGGCCTCTACTGCAGGAGTGGGTCGGGTCGGCGGAGGTTTCGCCCGGCGCCCGCCCGTGGGCGCCTCGTGGGCGCCTCGTGGTGCGCCGGGTGGGTCCGCCGGGGTGTCGCCGCTGTGCTCGCCCGCGGGCGCCTCGTGGGCGCCTTCTGCGCCGGGTGGGTCCGCCGAGGTCTCGCCCGGCGCGCCTTTGCTGCCGCTGCTGGTGGCCGGGGGCGGGGGGTGGGCAGGGTTGCAAACCCCCTCCCCCCCAACCAAGACCAAGGGGGGGGGAAGAGGAGGCGGCGGAGGAGGAGGAAGAAGAGTAAGCAGAAGAAGAAGGGGAGGAGGAGGAAGAGGAAGAAGAAGAAGAGAAGAAGAAGAAGAAGAAGAGGAGGAGGAGGAGGAGGAATCCCCTCCCGGGCGGGGGGGTCCAGATCTCCTCCCCGCTCGGGCAAACGAGGGGTGGGGTCCAGACCCACCCACCCCTCCCCCGGAAAAACTATGGGGGGGGTCTAGAGACCCCCCCCAAAAAAAAGAAGTGGGGGGTTCTTGATCCCACCCCCTGGAGAAAAGCATTGGGGGGTCCACCCCGCGACGAGGACGACGACGAAGACGACGACGACGCAAGACGCACGACACACGACGCACGACGCACGACCACGACGACGCCGCCGACGACGACGACGCCGACGACGACGACGATGCCTACGACTAACTACGACTACGTTGACAACGACGCCGACGACGACGACCACGCACAACGCGCGACGCACGGCGATAGCGACGCCTGCGCCGACGCCGACGCCGTCGCCGACGACGGCGACGGCGACGACGACGGCGACAACGACGACTACGACGCCGACGACGACGCCGACGACGACGGCGACGACGACAAAGCCGACGCCGACGACGACTGCGACGACGACAGCGACGCAAACGCTTACGCCGACGCCGTCGCCGACGCCAACGACAACGCCGACGACGACGCCGACGCCGACGCCGACGACGGTGGCGACGCCGACGCCGATACCGACGCCAACGCCGACGCCGACGCCGACGACGATGACGACGATGACGACGCCAACGGCGGCTGCGGCGGCGACAACGACCACGGAGATTAGGAGTAGAGTAGGAGTAGAGTGGAGCAGGAGCAGAATAGAGCAAGATAGAAGATGCTGGAGTACATGATGGTAGAGTTAGGGTTGAGTAGAGCAGGGCAGAGTCAAAGAGAAGAGGGGAGAGAAGGAGCACAAAAGATGTAGAGTCAAGCAGAGTGAGAGCAAACCAGAGTAGAGTAGACCATGCTAGGGTACTGTAGGGTAGAGTTGAGCAGGTAGAGCAGAGTAGGGCACATGGAGTCGAGCAGAGAAGGGTAGCTGTGTAGAGTATAGTTCTTGACGTTTCGCGTACCCCCACCAGCCTGCCGCCGGCATGGTGGGACGCACCTGGATTGTTCAGGAGTGGTTCAGCCTTCTTGGTCTGCCATGTGTGTTCGTTTCTGTTGGCCCGCGGCCTTGCACGCTGGACTGCTATCGCAGCCCCGCGCGTCGCCACGTTCGGTGGCGCGTCTACCTCTGGCGCCTGGTGCGACAAGGTCCAATTCGTCCTCCACGCTGGCCGCCTGGCTCTCCTGGCAGCTTTCGCAGTCTGCCTTCAGCCCCCGGCGCCCCTCAGCCTCCTTCGGCAGCAGCCTCGGCAGCCGTGAGTACGCGCGCTGAGTAATTAGGCTTCGCCCGTAGCCCGGGGCCCGGGTTGACCTCTGACGCCGCCTGCGCCTTCGCTTGCGGCTGCGCCGAACCAAAAAACCCACCAGCCCATTCAGAAACAGTTTGCCAAGCGAGTTGAACCGCTGTTGTGAGAGGTTCTCGGGGGCCTCTTGGAGCCATCCTGGGGCTCTCTTGAGGTCCTCTTGGGGCCCTCTTGGTGCTCTCTTGGAGCCCTCGCAGGGCCCTCTTTGGGCATTCTGGGGGGGTCTGAGAGGTATTTTGGGGCCGTTTTGGCCCCCGTAGCTCAAAAGGATGGGGGGGTTCAATTCAGGCTCCCCCCCCCCCCCCTCGGAGGCTAAACCATTTTCTCGTGGGGCCTTTTTGGAGCGCTCTTGGGGCTCTCTTGGAGCTCTCGTGGGCCGTTTTGGGGCCATCCTGAAGCTTCGGGAGCCCATCATAAGCGAAAAGGCGAACTTGCAAAAATCAGTGATTTCCCGCATGTGGTGGAGCCATTTCTGCATCTTTGGGAGGGAGGGTCCTTGGAGGGCCCACAGAGCATTCGAAGCCATCTTAGGGCCGTCTTGGGGCGTCTTCGATGTATGTAGGAGGTTATAGTGAGTCATCTTCAGTTATCTGTGGCCATTTGGGTGGCCATGTGGGGCTTTCTGAGGCCCTCTTGGAGCCATCTTGGGCAGTCTTGGATGCTTTAATGCATCGCCCCCCCTCCCAGGCCCAGAGGAGGGGGGAGGGGGGAGGGGGAGGGGTCAAGCTACCCACCCGCCCGCAAGCCGTCTCGCTCACTCCCACCCGCCCTCCCAACACGCGAACATCACCCGATCCTGACCATGTTCAGCGGCCGTTTGTGGATGGGCAGCTACTGGGAACCAAGCCGACCCCAGGTGCGCGACGCTTGGGCGAGGTGAGCCACGCGTGCCAGCCGCGCCAGGTGCGCCACGTTCGGCGCACGCGCAGAGAGCGCCAGGTGCGCCTGCTCACGTGACAGCACACATCGAGAAACATGTCGGCCCCCGCCACCCTTGTCGAAAACCAGTGCCCATCATTGTGTCTGGTGGGTTTGCGCACAGCAGACCACGCGCCACCACCCCCGCCGTCCTTGTCGGAAGCCACGTGACAGTGATCGCAGGATGGCCGCGCACGATCCAGATTTAGCCGTGAGGTGCATGTTGCATTGTTTTTTGTCAGGGATGGTCGCCCTGCGCACAGCAGGGAATATGCTGACAACTTCGCCGTCCCTGTCACAAACAATACAATGTGCTCGCGGGCCTCACGAACATGACGCATGACTTTCTACCTCAAAGTGTACTTGGCATTGTTTTTGGCAGGGATGGTGGGGTGCGGGGCCACATGAAGTCGGCATGGTTCCAGGTTGGCCGCCAGCCGGGTGGCGGAGGGGTGCAAACAAATCAGGAGCAATGATCAACACCCTCCCCCGAGCAGAGGAAAGAGGGGGTGTGGACAGAGAGAAGACAAAACTCGTTAAACCACCTATGCGCGCCCAGACTGGTGGTGGGATATAGCAGAGCAGTGTTAGAACAATCGTATATTAGAGCAGCGCTGAGTGGAATAGCGTCGAAGCAGGGTAAAGCAGAAGCAAAGCAGAGAATAGTAGAGTAGGTTAGGGTACGGTAGGGAAGAGTACGGTAGAGTATAGTAGGGCACAGTAGAGCAGAGTATAATGGAGGAGAGTAGAGCACAGCAGAGAAGAAACATATTAGAGTAGAGTCGGAGCAAAGTGAAGTAGAGTAAGGTGTGTTAGAGAACTGTAGGGTCAAATCGATTCAGGTACGGTAGAGCAGAGTAGGGTATTGGATAGTCTTGTAGAGTTTGCATTGTAGGACAATGGAAAACCGTGCTTGACCTCGGTGCCGCTCCTCCTGCGGAGGCACCTGCTTGACCTCGGCACCTGCATCCGAGGAGTAGGGTTATGGCTTCCCAGACACGTCAACTGAGAAAATGGACAAGCAGCGTTGCAGCGGCAAGGGCATGTATTCGCAGCTCGTTGTGGCTCTTCTTTCTGGGCTGGGGCTACGGGCTAAGGACATGGTGCATTTCCGCGAGGAAATCGCCTATGATGGCACTTTGGCGCTCACGCTTCTGGAGATGATGGCGGAGCCACCGGAACATTTCACAGTGCCCAAGTTTTCCTGCAGTATGTTGCTAGCTTTTGGTTCTGCATCATCAATTCGTAACAACACCATTTACTTGGACAAGACCCTTACGAATTTTGTGACAAATCTCATCAAGAAAGGGTTCCGGGTGAATGGGTTTGATCCACTCCCGCCTTTGGACACGCAGGCGAGCGCCTTTGGCCCCTTGGACCTCTCGCTCTTCAAGTTATGTGTGCCAATTGTAAGTAGGATGCTCTTGCAGATCCGTGAGAATGAATTGCTCCCCGT